GTGTCTCTACGAGCCTCGCACATTTGCTATGATACAAAGAGCATCTGTCTATAGAAGTGAGTGCGTACAGAAAACTTTGCCTTCTGTAGCGGAGCATTGGTGTTTTGCAGGCAAACCACGAGACTTACAGCAGCTAAGCAGCTCCTGAGTACTTGACTTGAGAGCTGGCAATACTTCCTGTGATTGAGACTTTGCTTTTATTGACCATGGATCTAGTCCGGACTCTTTTGTGGGCGAAAGCCCCCTCCCCCTCTCCTCTCCCCTCCCCTCTGTTCATTGCTTATTCCATTTTGCTTATGTAGGCAACGGGCGCAAACATATCTTGTATATATACTTTTAGCGAATAAAATCTGTATTCTTGGGAAGCAAAATTCTGTTTTCCAATTAACATAGAACTACTGCAAAAGTGGAACAGAGGCATCGAAAAGTAAAGAATATCAAGAATGTTTGCAAAGTCGAGCGTAACGAAAAGAATAAATGCCTGAACTTGCTACATGAACAAAATCAAATTGCTGGTAGTTAGCAGTGCGTAATGGTCGGCAAATCAATAGTATAAAGTTTTCTTCTAATTATCTTTCTAAAGTTACAAGCAATACATGGATTTTGGTAAAAACATTTACGCGCCACATCGTTTTAGCTTCTTTTGTACACGAACATAAATCTGAAGATTTTGAGCTACTTGAATTTTGATTACACTTTTCTCTGATTTTGCAGAAAGAAGCACTCATAAGTTCTCGATATGTTTTCAGAGTTTACGAAAGTCACGGAGTATTTTGACTGGAGAGTTTAAACAGTTAAGAAAATGACTGGTGGTGAATTCTCAGCAGTTTTTCTTAAACAATCATAGCCTTAGAAAAATTTTCCCACTTCTGAAATTTCTATAGCAAAACTTTTTGTCTGTGAATGCTTGCAGAAAGCCACTCTGATAACCTTATTGAAGGCCTCGTCTGAGAAATGATTTCTAGGATCGCTGCGCCGGATTACCGATGATTTACTTGCCGGATTCTCTTAAAAAGTGTGTGTAATAATTGTTTGGCTAATAATCTGCAAATTTAAGTAATCTAGATGCACTCTTGTAGAGTGCAAAGCTGAAATCTAAGTAATTTATTACCAAGATTTATTAACAAAGTAAGGTGATAAACTCATTAACATCACCAGGCACTCGGATGGCTAACGTCTTCGCTCTCCATTCGACAGAGACCTAAGTATTTGTTTCTGCGGGTGTACGGCGCAGATGAACAGCCCACACTGACTTCTAACCTTTTAGTAGGTTTCGGCCAACTTGCATGGAATGAATTGGAGTGTTCGGAATTGTTTTTGCTTTTGTAACGAACAAAAACAAAATTAGTCCGCGTTGTGGCTGCAGGCAGCTGCATCCGGCATTCCTCCTGCGGCATTTCTTCGCTTGCCAATTTTTGAAAAAAGACTCGGAAGAGTCGAAAATTGATGCTTTTTGAAAAAAAATTTCGCAATCTTTGATTTTGCCAGATGCTCAATATGTCAGAGATAGCAAGTGAAACGATCGTAATTTACATTAAGATCAGCTTCAAGTAAAAGGGTACGCTGCCATGTATAGATAGATTTCATGTTGCGAAAATTACATATTCGTGACTTATAATTTTTTTCAGGCAAATCAATATGAAAGTTCCGTTCTAGATTTTCATCGTGGTAAAACGGAATTCTCACTCCTTCTATTAGATGTATTGCAGCTTTGTAATGTTCAAAGCGTTACCAAACTGAGCATTCACCTTGTCTTACTCAACAGTTGAGATGATTTCACCAGAAGTTGAGGTGTAGTAGACGTCATCTGTCTAGTCGCGCGGTGCGATGTGTGCTGGGGAGGACGTGCGTTATACTACAAAGCACTCGATGCCAAAGCTCGCCGACATAGTCGGCACAGGGCCCGGCACGCTTTGGTTTAGAGCATTTCTGAAAACGAAGTCCCCCATGACTTCGCGAAAATTTACGAGGTTCCTCTTACATAAAAATCAGTAGAGAAACCCTTATTCAATTAAAATAGCAATAAAAAAGCGAAAAAAAGCCCATTTTGAATTATATAATATTACAAAAAAACAAAAAAAAACATTTCGGATTGATTAAAGGCTCTGTCATTGGGTATGGTACAATCTTAGTGCTCAGAATGTCGAAAATCTCTTAAACCAACCAAATCTGTGACCTCAACACTCTGGCGAGGCATTTTTTGCCACATAGTACAAAGGACACCGCGTGTGACTGGAGCACGACATCTATCAATCCTTTGGTTTACGCTATTTTTGGCTCAAAAAAAAAGGAGAAGCAGTGGTTTGATCCGCTTTCTTCGCTATATGATAAATTTTTGACCTTTCTAATCCTCCAAATCAGAAAGGTCCAAAACTTATGTGAACTCTCCGATATTAGGTTGTTGCATAAGTTCTGTCCGAATTTTTTGCCTTATGTTTGAAGCTGTTCTAAAAGAATTTCATGTCAAATGCGACATTCTTACTACCATTAGAAAGTGTTTTTCTTGCGCTTTTTAAAGCATATCAAATTTTAATAAATTTCTTTATGTAAGGAGATCTCATGCCTAAAATCTTCAAGTGGCCGAGGTACGTTCTTACCCTAGAAATATGTTCCTGCGAGGAAGTCTCCACAACGCACCCTTCAAGTCAAGTTCTTTCATTAGCTGCGGAATAATGGTGTAGAAGGCTAGCATATGCATAAGCTCAGTTTCATGAAGAAAACGTCTTGCTAGTAAAATTTATTGTGAAACATTGTCAAACACAATTTATTGTCAACACAACAACATAACACAATTAATTTTATTATTTACGAGTTTAGACAAGTCATTTACACATTTTCATAATCACCTGTAAGTAACTTTCACAAATTTAACGATCCATATTCGGGTAAGAGGAGGGGGGCCTAGCTAAAGGCTACTGCAGCGCGAAGGCACAGAAGCAGTACTAGTTGAGCCGGCGGTCCCTCGACGCATAAATCTATAAGCTCAATACCCCCCCTTGCAGTTTCTTCGCATACTGAGATAAGCTCAAGAGAATTGGAATGGTAAAAATATCAGTGATCGTGTGTGGCTAAGAGATATTCCCAGTAAATGGCATTAATCTAAAGAATTACTCTCTAGCAGTCACAGTCCCAGGATTCTCATTCGGAGGAGGGGGGGGGGGGGGAGGGGAAGAGGGGGGAAGGGAGGGGTGGGAATTGAGAGGCGACAGAGATATTTTTGAATAAGGGTGCATGGCGCTAACCGCTAACTCCGAAAATTTTGGGATGCTTCCCATAATTTTTCTTCCCATATTGACCCATGACCCCTATTTTACTTACAAGGAGATGCGAATTTTTCCACAATTTAAAAAATTTCATTATCTACGAGTTTAGACAAGTCATTTACACATTTTCATAATCACATGTAAGTAGCTTTCACAAATTTAAAGATAAATATTAGGGATGGAGGGGGGGCTATGATTCTAGCAGCAATGATTTGAAAGGTGGTCTTTCTCGATTCTTTCGAGTCTTTGCAGAAATTGACAGGAAGGCTGAGGCCCAGGCAGCGATGCCATTGTTAGGTGTGGAATGTGCTAAAGGAGCAACCAAGTCATGTCAAAGATTCAGAAGGCTTAGTGTTGAATGCATGTTTTTTTCAGATTTTTGAGTCTTGTTAAGTTAAAACAAATGACGCTTTGCCAGGATAGTTAATGACTAAAGATATGGACAGAATGTATTAGGTTGGCGGATAATTCCTGTTACACCTTTTTCGTAAAATTTTGAAAAGTTTCAGAAGTTCTCTGGAATCTTCAAAATTGCTCCATATGTAGGCCACGGCAGGGCGTACACAACAGCATGACTGATGCCGTAAATGCACAATTAGCCAGCGACTTTACGACTACTTTATAAGCACACTCAAAATTGTCACTTTTTCTTCGATTTTTTTCTCTGTGTCTAACTGTGTCTTTTCTCTCCTATAATTTTCTAAGAACATATTTTCGCATTATCTCTTTTATGGTAGCACTTTGGTGCCGCTAGCACGCCGAAAACAAGGGGTGAAAATCAACTCAAAAAATCGAAAATTCGTCGAAAATTTTTCTTTTTGTTTGCATCGTGTAGGATCTGATACGGAGCAGTTGAAAATAATTTTTGTAAATTTTTAAAGATTGTTCTTCATGTCAAAATGCCAGTGTGCGGCTCATGTTGCACCATGTCAGCGTGTGCGGACATGGTTGTCCCATCTCCCTATGTTTGCTACTCAGACAATTATTGCGAGCATCCGCGGCGCTTAACGCTGATTTTTGGCGGCGCGCGAGCCTTGTTTCTTCTATTACACCAGCCGCGGGCGTAAATTTTCATATCGGAAGAGCCGCGGCACAAGTTTTCACGACGCAAATCTACAGGACAGTCCGCGGCTTCTATTCAATTTGTCGGAACACCCACGGCCCATCGTTCGGACAAGCCGCGAGCCTTATTGGATGCCAAGACGTTTCATATTATCGGGCAAGCCACGGCCCTTACCATTTGCCGCGTTCATTTTATTTCTGGAGAGCCGCGGCCCTTATAAGACGCCACGCCTTTTTCAAACTCACTTGGGCGCGCGTTATTGGCTTCTCTTGCATTCTCTCTTTTTATACCCATTCAATTTCTCTGGAACTTCGCTTTTTTTCTATAAAAATGTTGTTTTCCTTCTTTCATCATACCATCACTTTGTTTTGCGTCTATATATCCCATGGATTTGGTTTGAACGGTGAATGAAATTGTTTATTGATTTTATTCACTATTAAAGCCTTTCTTCCTTACTGATGAGTTCCGGGAAAGGCTCATTGTTTTATTTTTTCAAGTTTTGTCCGTCTAAGGGAAGGAACGAAACGGACCTACCTTATCTTATTTTTTTGTAATCATAATCATTTTTGCAATGAATTGTTTGTACTGCCGATGTTTTTCGTACTTGTATTATGTTCTTTTGCCAAATCAGCTACATTTAGTTACTAGTATTCTACTATTTGACAATACTTACAATGACTACTATTCCACGGAAGCGCGTTCGTTCGTCGCTCCCATCTATCAATGCAAGTGGAGTGCGAGCGTATGGATGTATGTATTTCATTCAGTTAATTCCTTCCACATGTACTTGACAACTATACTATAAGCCACTTCTAGTACGGTTTGAAGAACAGATGATTGGCAACAGAAATGAGTACATGATAGATGAACAACAAGAGCAACAAGAAAGTATGGTAATGACCGAAAGCGGGCGAAGGGAGACTCCACCATTAGAATACGATTCGGATGCAATTCTACACTATCAGGATCAAAACGAGTTGCCAACAGATGACAGTGGAAGAAGAGACACGAGTTTGTTAACTTAATGTATCTTTTCAAGGTATTTTGTATGTAAACTATGAAGACGTGCTTGTTTTAGCTATGTATGAGCGTGTCATATATTACGCCATGTATGTCCTGCTCTTTGCACTTTCTGAAGAAGAAATAACACGTATGGAGTACTTGATGGCAGTAATATATGGCACTCCCCCTCCGATATCGGTAAAACGAATTTTGCCGTTTTTGTTTCCACAAAATAGACTTTAGTATCACGTCCACGTTCGCAAACTCAATAAACAGTTACTGCAAGAGTATAGGAGGGATCGCTACTTTTTTTGTAGTAGCTGCAATGGAGAAATGCATGGAGGGCAGGTTGCCTGTCAGAATAACAGTTGTGGTATTCGCGGGTTCGTTTCAAACTTGCTCACTCATATTTACAAATGTACAAGTTTCATTCCTTTGCAGCATCAGCACCAAAAGAGCGAAGCTTACTCAGAGAATTGAGGTGCATCCTGTCAATATAATCCCTCAACTATCAGATGTTCTCACCAGCAACTTTGAACAGATTCTACACAAGCACGAAGAGATTCATATGAATGGGGTACCAGTACAATAATGTCTTGCATGATACACATCGAAAAGCTTTGTAGGATCTTGAAGACAGGAGTGATATCAGGTCTTTTCCTGGCTACAGAGAAGCGATTGAAACAGCTGATGAATTTCGTCAGGGCCAAATTAAGGTGCTTTTGTCCGTCTCTCTTGATGGATTTCGCCCCAAAAGGATAGCAAAGTGAGAAAACATAACTCATCTTACTTAAATTCGCATCTATTCCTTAAGGAGAGAAATATGGCCATTATATCTTCGTGTGGAGGGGCTACCCCAATCGGATGCCAACAAGTATCACAACTTTTTACTCGCAGGAGCCATCTATAGTCGCCTGAAGCCTTCGGACAAAATGATGGAGACTCTATTCAGTCGGTGAGACCTGGTCGGACCAAGATTGCCGAAAGTTAATCATTACTAACCTATATAGGTTTGAATCCGAGCTTGCTAGCCTACGTGATGCCCCAATTGAGGTAGAATTCGGAGGAATAACATGGAATGTGAAAGTGCAATTGTATAAAGGAGTCGCGGATATGGCTGTGAGAATCACTTGGGGAAACCTTGAATAGGAATGAAGTTGCATATTAAGGCCCAACAAGCGCTCTATGGAACCCCAAGATGGACATCAGACTACGGCTGCTCAAAATGCTACATCAAAGGCAATCGCATCGAAAGAAGTCGTGTTTGGATTGCCACCAATGATGAAGATTTGCGCACGAGAAGTCGAGAATCCTACGAAATTGATGGTGAACGCGAGCAGTACGGAATAAGTGAGCACCGGCTTCAATTTATGCGATCACATTATAAGTTTAATTTCAGAAAAAACGCCAGCAATGCGACTCATACCACCCTGCGACTTTATCGGCGATGCTCTGCATGTTTGCTCAGAGGGAGTCACCCGCGACAGACTAAGAGGTACAACCACCACATTAGTATAATGATGAAACAGTGTGATGAAAGACAAAGCGATGAATGAAAAAAAGTACGTACGAAAGAAAAAAATTGTATAAAAAATGAAAAAAATCAAGTACTCCGTTTCGTTCCTACCCTTGGACGGAGTGCGAGACAAAAAAAAAAACCCCCTCCGGAACTCTTCAGCAAGGAAAGGAGGCATAAAGTATAAAAGAAAAACGAAAAAACACCCAGAAAGAAGTGTACTCACCTCAATTAGGCTGCATGAGGAGAAAGCGAGCGATAACGCACACCAGTGATAAGAGCGTCAAGCGTGGCAGTGTGCGTGCAAAAGAAATGATACTCAGACGAAAGAGCAAAGTCAAATTTTACGATTTGTACGCAGCCAAATTGATTGGATGTAAGTGACCGAATGCGCGCGCTATTGATAAGAGCGTTGAATGCAAAGAACAAACAAGTTAAGTGAAAAGGAGAAAGGAGTCAAATAGTTTAATGCGCTGGAGATTTCGATAAAACGTACATGTAAACGTAATATGACCACATATCATATACTTAACAAGCATTCAGACCTACTCAATGCCAGTTCGAAGTTTCCGGGAATGAGAATTCCACGCGAACATCTGCAGGAACTAAAGAAGTGTCTACTTGGAGTGTCTTCTCATACGTATGCTAACAGCTTAATCTTGTCGATCGAAGATCTACCGACATGCACAGCCACGGAAATTGATGAAATTTGTGGAAGTAACCGCCTTTTTTTTCCCAAAAAACGTTAGTTTTCTAGCTGGCAGGAGCTCTCTTCCCTCTGACGGCTGCTGTAAAAATCATACCTTGCCCCGTAGCAGCCACATCCCTGCTGGGATATTGGTTTTGCTTGAAAATTATCTCAAAGTCTTTCACACTCACAGTAAGAGATATTGAGATAGCGAAGTCTGCGGCGAGAGATACCAGAGAAATCTGGACAACAAGTCGACCAACTATCTATACAATGAAATGTCATGTGAGTGAACTGACTTTGGGTTTATGATAACAAATCAAATCCTTCAGTGGTTTTTTGACCACACTATGAAGGAAGAAATTTCAATGTACGGAACGCCCTATCAATGGACATCCGCTCCATTTGAGAGTCTGCACCGAAGACTCCAATTGAAATTGAATCAGTCATCTACGAATTCCACCTCCTCGATTATCGATAGGTAAGGCAATTCAATGAATTGCCTTACCTATCGATAACATCCACTGTAGGTATTTACTGACAAAGAAAGTCAGACAGTTGCTGAGGGAGCACTCGAGTGATAACTATAATCTGTTGGAGCTGCAGAAGAAGGTGGACAACCAACACTTGCAAAGGTGATATCATCTACTTAGTATTCGGTCTCGTCATTAAATGTCTCCTCAAACAGATTCCCTGTGCACAAAAGGATTAACAGTCAAGTGTACCTACCCAAGAACAGCAGCATACCTATATCCGACCTTCAAGATTCGCATAAAACAAGAATTAGACAATTTGGCGAAGAACCGTAGTAAGTTGAGCAGGATGCCCATAATTTAGTCACACAACCATCTTCTGTGCAGTTCCAGGCTGGTAGTAGACGGCAAAGTCTACGCCTCACGGCTTTATTGGAAACGGACCAATAACAGCCGACAAGACCTCATCTGCTATAATGGAACTGAAACAGGAGAAGATTCGACCTGCTTTGGATCGGTCCTACTTTTCTTGCACAATCCAACCACTAACTCTGTCGCGATGCTTCTTGATGAATACGTCTGCAGCGATCCTTTTGCGCCCTTGCACGATATGGTCACTCAAACTTCTCACCAGGCTCAAGAAGTAGCACTGCGACTCCTTAGGTTAATTCGCCAAAATAACATTTACTTCCGCAAATTCTCAGTCTCAAACAAACGTTTGGGATGCGCTTCACTAATTCAAGGACCTTGCTCTGTTCTAACTTTTGGTGATGACTCGTTCGTCTACAGAGCTTGATCTTGATCTGCTCCGATCTCTTAATCTGCTCTAATCTAGATTCGGCTGCGTATCAAAAATCAGAAATTCGCACTTTCGCCTTTCGCCCCGATTGCACTTTTCTTTTTCTATTGTTCCGCGTTTGCTCTGTTTTTGCTTTACTTTTTTCTCTTCTATATATTTCGTGTCTGTAGAAGTTCTTTTTGTGCATTTACTGTTTGTATGAAGTTTTTCGAAAGTTTTCTGTTGTTTTCGCCTGCGACATCGCCGCCAACGCCGTTTTTTCCTTCTTGTGAGTTCATAATAGCTTTATTTCAGCATGGCTTCTGTTTGTTTTTGATGGTAGCGAGCCAAAACAAAGCGAGCAATATTAGGCAGTGAGTTTTCATGTTTTGTTCTGTTTTCTTTTTCATTGGCATGTTTTGTTTCATGTTTTGTTTTGTTTTCTTTTTCATTAGCTTTCCTTTGTTATACTTTTCGAGATTTTACATGGATTTCGCCACGGAAATCAATGACCCCTCGCATTTTATGATGTGCGAAAGGTCCAGATTGCTATAATTAAGTACTGCCTTGTGCCTTTTGCACTTCACACTTCAATTAGAACGGGGTCATTGATCCCCGTGGCAGTTACGTGACTGGTAGATGGTATAAAAGTCCTTGCCCAGCTATTAGTCTTCAATGTCGATCATTCTTTTTCCCATCTAATCGCCCGTTCTTGTGTTTTCATATCTGATTTTTCAGATTGAGCAACGTTACTTGTTAGTGCGACAAATCTTATCAAAATGTTTAAGACTGACACGCCGACGAGGACCTCTCAGTTCTACACAACGCTACAACCGATGAAACCAAGAAATTCTTGTGTCGTGTAAGTTTAAGTTTTATATTCGCAGGTTGACTTTATGACCTTGAGCTTACTTTCAGAAAAAGGCGCGCACCAGTGGAAGCACCTGAAGACGAACTGGAGCTTGAAGAATCCTTTAGCTATGGTAAGCTCCTCCGATCACTTCTTTCGTTGTTGTCAATATCACTCGCTTCAGGCAAAACACGGGATCGGAGAGAACTGCGTGAAGACGCCGAGGTTGCAGCGTCATCAGAACCTAGCACTCTATATGAGTGTGTTTCAAAAGGAGTTTTGAACATGGGCAAGGCCGCTGCCCTTATCTGTCGATTACGAGGAGAAAAGAAGTTCAATAATGCTGCTTATGAGGTAAGCGAAAGATCCGAAATCTATTTGTTACCTACTGAAAACTTATTTTAGGAATTTCTATACTCGGACACGGCCTACCGAAGCAAACCAAGTTTCGAGGATTTGGATGCAGACCAAGAAAATTGGTGGCGCTACAATCCGATAGCACTGCGACTGCTGGTAAGTTCGGAAGTAATATATTCTTCTCACATAACTTATTTTTAGGGAGAAATCAATCGCGCAACGAATTTGAGGCTTGCAAGGACAACAAGCTACACGGACAAGGGTCAAATAAACTTTGCGACAGCAACCGTTTCCGTGGACCTGAACAACTGCTCCGATGTATGGTCGATAGAAGAGTCTCCGCCTTTCAAACGCACCATGGTAAAGGCTGTGGCTGCTAAGTGGCACCCCAGAAGGAAGGATATAAATTTTCAAAAACTGTCGTCTCTCTTCAGATTTTTGCTAGAAAGGGTAGGCTTTTATTTTTCAAGCGAGTGATTGATTTACTTCTTTCCAGATCACCGATCCACCAGAAGCTATACAAAGTTTTTCGATGCGAATGAATCGCCGAAGTGGACGCAATGAAAATCTGAAGAATCTGCCGGAGCACATAGAGGAAACATTGATAGGTAACTTCATGACTCCAGTTTGTCATCACTTGATCTTCAATTTAGGATTTGGCCTTGACTTGCTAGGATTTGGGAGGAAAGAGATCCTGGACGAAACGACTAACGTCCAGGATAGCGCCTTCTACACAAACCTCGGCTCCAGTGAACCTGAAAGACGAGAAGCGCTTGAAAAGTTACGATGCCAGAGAAGGGAATGGGGCGCTTACGTGTTCACGGCTCTGCAAAAATCGCTGTAAGCTCTTATTTTTGCACATTTCGGTTTTCTTCCAATCAAAAGCTTCCATGTTTAGTCGCGACGTACGTTCACACACCTTCGATGCTACTCGTGGATGGATCCCCTCAACCGTAAGTTTGGTTAGGTTGCCATGACATAAACCATGACAAATCTAATTCAGAGACAGGCGAAGAAATCAATGGCGGAGAGTGATTACGTCCCCTGCACACAGTCCCCGTCCCCTGAACTTTGATCGCATTTAGAATTCCATCTCCTTGGGGAAGGTAGAATAGATATGATCTTTTGGTTTGAGATACTCAGCTACGGTGTTTTTTTTTTCGATTATGATATTTTCCATTCATTTCTCGCTTTTGCTGAAAGGATGTGTTTTTTTATTTACCATGTTGTCTTGATTGAATTTTCCTTTATCATCTTTACTCATTCGTTCTGATCATTTTGTTCGTCCTTATTGAGACCTTCGAGGTCTTTTTGAGTCTGTTAGGTTGGCTCCAGGCTAGCCGACCGTCCTGCTTCAGCAGCATGTGGCGCAGTTATTGTGAACATTACACCCTTCGTCCAACTTGACACCAAATGACATAACTGCGCGGCGTCCTGCTGGAGCAGGAAGTCGGCTAGTTTGGCACTTATCTTCACTCTAATCTCTCTGATTCTGTGCTGGTAGCTGAAGTGCCTTATTATGATGTAATGCTGTGCCTTGTTATGATGTTGCCATGTGGCATATGTATGCGTTGATCTATACATGCATGGAATGAAATGCAGATAAACGGTTGTAGTTTTAACGGTGTTATTGCCTGAGGGGGTGTAAAAGTTGGAGCTGCCTGAGGGTGTGTAAAACGAAGGTTTGGGGCGAGCGCAATTGAATTCAGCTGCAGCTTATCGGACGGCGTGCGGGCGTGGATCGCGCATTCACCGGGCGCTTACAGGGACAGCCGCGAGCACTTACCGGCTGCTTAACCGGCGCTTATCAGGCGCTTGCCGGGACGTCCGCGAGTGTCATTCAAGTGCTTAACGGCGCATCCGCGGGTGATTTTCGGCCGCTCAGCGTGCGTTTATTCCACCACCCGCGGCATGGATGATACGTCGGCGGGGGCCCTTCCGCGGGTGGTCGCAATAATTGTCTGAGAAAAACTATGGGCCATATCCCGCCCGAATACCACATCGCCCATTTCTTCCCAATCACCTGGAACAATGCCAGCCCACTGATAAAAATGTCCATAAAATGTACTCCCGCCAATGAAGTGAGTGTTTTGCGCACGGACCGCGGATCTGACAGTACCGGCGGGTAGACTTCGCACCCCGCCAACACTCCCTAAGCACAGGAATTTTTGAGAGTTTCTTGAATTTTTGAAAAATAAAAATAAAAATGTAACAGAAATTATCCGCCAACCTAATATAACAAGCACAACACAAGCACCATTATTGCTATTCATTCAACTTTATCAATGGTCCTGAGTCATAAAGAATTTTGCTCTGGGCGAATGCATCTGGAAATGATAAAACTTAAGGGCAATCTTCTACCCATAATTTTAGCATAGTCTGAGAATTTGAGATGTTCTAATACAAACTACATTTAATGTGTTAAACTCATTATGTAAAATACTTTGCACTACGCAAATGTTGATTACTGACCTTAGTCCACTCTGAAAGCGATAAGCACTACAAAGTTTGCACGATGCCCACTTAGTCTAATTTTTTCAAGTGCCACCGGATTAACAAACTCATATTTTATTGGTAAAAAAGTTTGTTGATCAAAGCACTACACTGCACACTCTCCAAAGAAAGGGTATTTGAAAAGTTTGCGGCCTCAAGTACTTCAACTGCGAAATCATTTTTGCCATATGTTCATTAAACCTAGAAACATGGGTCAACAAAGGAAAATATTTTTTGCCTCAAGATACTTCAGATAATCTGGAAGCAAACAAATTTTTCAGTTTCCTTGAAGAGGCGGAAGCGTGGGTTATCTGAGTTGTTCTACTTTTTTTCAACGCCGGAAAACGGACACAGCTCGCCGTTTTTTTTTCAGTAATCCTTAAGTTCACACTTTTGTATAAAAAAAGTCCTCAGCAGCCTCAGAAATTTTTTCTCATTCCTCCTCAGCAGCACAGGATTTTTTTCATGTGCTGAATTACAGCAGACAATCGCAGCACAAAAATGCGTTGAAATTTTTTTCGGTTTAAAAATTTTGGAAGTCTTTTCTAACAAGTATTTGTAGCGCAGCTTTCTGATATTCACATTAAAATTCAAAAGTTTTGCAAGCTTGTCAAGGTTTTATAGATAAAATATAAAAATTTCACTGCTGGATTCGTTTAGAGAAAATCCTGAGACTGGATACCTTGTATTTCAAAACACGGTGTTTCAAAGCAAACTTACTTCTACGAAGTATACCAAGTTTTCTATGCAGGATACCTTGTATTTCAAAACACGGTGTTTCAAAGCAAACTTACTTCTACGAAGTATACCAAGTTTTCTATGATTCAACTTTCCTTCATTGTAACAAGGGTTCTAAGAAAGTGGTTTGGAAAGCTATATTAATGTGTCTCAATCTAATAAAAAAAAACTAAAAAACCATAAAAAAATCTGGTTTCACTTAATAGTGGTATCTAGGCCTGATGAGCACAATAAAACAGAAAGCGCTTAAAAATTCAAATTGGAAGTACTTTAGGCCACTTCCTAAACAACCTGTATTGTCGACTCCTTCGAGTCTTTCAAAAATTGGCAGGGAGGCCGAGCTGTGTGGCATGACGCTACACAGGGAGGGCGGGTAAAGAATGGTGATTGTTTGATGTTGAAGGTCTTCTGACAATGTCACCACTCCCACTCCGACCATTTCCCTGGAAGTGAAAAATGAGAAGACCGCGCTTGTTTAAACACTTGGTGCGTCCACTTCTAAAGCTTCGTACATTTTCCAGCAAAATCGTCGACGCTTCTCTGTGTGCAGAGTGCACGATTGATGTAACAGTGTGAAGCTTATTCCTGCAAAGCCAGTGAGTCATAGAATGAGTTTACATTGTCGCGATCTACACTAACATTGAAAAAAAACTGTCAGTTTTCCAGTAGGTTTTTGCAGGTCAGATGTAGGAGAAGAAATGGAACATCTACAGGACTTGATACCGTCTGACGAGTAGTACTACCTGAGAATTTTTACCTAACAAAGCGACTTGCGAAAATGTTGCGGCTCTGTTGGAAGACACTCTCTCAGACAACTGATTGGAACTTCCGCAAAACAGCGAGCATTTTTCGTAAGTTCCACAGTACGTTGTGAAAGTACTGCGGAAGTTCTTGTTTTCTATCAGTCTGACGTGAAAACCCTGCGGAAGTTCCCATTTTCGGCTTTACTTTTGCAACAATAAGAAAATCTCTTGTCCTGCGGAAGTTCGGGTGAATTTTTTGAAATCAAATAACCTTGTTGCAAGTCTGATTTGCTCCCAGAGTGCTCACTGACCATCATATGTTCACTTTTCATCCAGCAAAGTGTATTTTTCGTTTAGGTGGTAAAAATCAAAAATTGTCCCAAAATAAAATCTTGTTGTCGATTCTGCCTCTTCAGAAATTAGATGATGAATTGACTTCAAGTTCCTATTGCACACAAATAAAAACGTACTATGGTAACAACAAATTTGTTACCATCAAAGAAGTGGAACATTTTGAATCTAATGCTACTCAACTAGGCAAGAGACGATTTTTGTTCTACGTACCTTCATAGAACTCTTCTCACCCGTACTCTGTGCAACATTGAGATCATATGCTCCGTTTCAAAAACTCTTACAACCAAACAATAACATCTTGGTAAGAAAAATGAATAATTTCTTAAAGTTTTTGATCTCATAATTTTTCGCTCTTTTTACATTTTTAGAACTGTGCAATTGTCATAGGTTAAAACTGCTCAATGTTGAATGAAAACTAAGGATACGATATTATTCATGGACAGTAAGTTCGGCTATAAATGATCTACATCACTAATGTTGTGAGAACAACTTTGCGTTTCGAACTGCCAGCAATTTCTAAGGTTGAAGTAATGACTTCAACGACTATTCGCATGGGGATATCTTCCAAGAAAGTGCAAACCTTTGGAAGCCTCATTTCGAAGATAAAAATATATGAAGCAACCGAAGACAGTTCAAAAGTTATCTACTCACGTTTTCTAATATCATAGATTTACTCGTATTTTATGCAAATCTGCTCAAATGAGGATTATTGGGCGTCCGATTAGCTGTGAAAACTTCACTTTTGATTCTCTCACGTAGGAATATCTCTTGCATTCAGCGCAAATTATAGTGCAGCTGGGTCTTTGTTGTATACTTGAATGAATGCGCAATCGTAATCTGATTCTGCAATGTTTGCTGAATCAGTAATAGAATTTATCTACCCGGTCCCAGTATTTCCGTCCGGAGAGGAGGGGGGGGGGAGTGAACAAATTTTTTCAAATAAAGGTGCGTGACTTTAGCCACACACTCCAGAAAATTTTCTGAGGTGCCCTCAAAATTTTTGAGGGCCTACAACCCTAAAATCTAGAAAAAAATTTATTTACTAAGCTAATTTGAATTTTAAAAAATAAAAAATATTCCAATTATCTACCAAAATAGATAAGACACTTTTTAAGGCGATAGGCAATAAATAATGCACCTTTTTGTAACCCATGTAAGTCAATCTCAGTCTGTAAAAATAGGCTGCTGCATGACGAGGCTCATATATTAGGCAACGCGGTTTTGTTAGCCGCAGAGCACATAAGGCGCAGGATTTACAAGGTGAAGATAGACGCTCCCCACATTAGCGCTCGCTCAACTAATACTGCTTCTGCCTTCGTCATGTAGTAGCCTTTACTGACATACTACCGGACAAAGATAATGTGCAATCCGTGATTGCATACCTGCCAGATATTGAAGTGTTTGTTGTGCTGGCTCAAACTTTGCAGCAAAATATACGAACTCAAGACAAATTTGGTAAATTTTATTAGTTTTATGATTTTTCGAAAAGCAAGAACATTAAAAAAGCCCCAGTCCAGCTTGAGCTGATATAAGTGACATACGCAAGTGCTTGGGCTTAATATTTTCATTTTAGATCCCATGCTTTAAGAAATATGAAAGCATACAAGCTTTGAGTTTGGGTACCTCCAGCTCTGTTACAGAGCATATTCAAACACATTCCAGCAAAGCATAATGAACAACAGCAAAATTGCTCCACTTCTATTCCAGTTTTTACCTTAGTTCTTTTTGATTTTTTCGACTCTTTTGAGTCTTTACAAAAATTGGCAGGAAGACGGCAGCCCAGGCAACATGGACAAACCCAGGAAATCCCAACGCTGCGGGGCTCAGACTTCGGGGCATGATAACGAAATTATTTGTGTTTGCTCGCTGCCAACCGGCAAGGTCTGCGGCCAGGCCTCCATCCCACTCCTGCCGCCGTTCCCTGGAAGTGGAACAGAAAACCGTGCGGTATTTGTGAACTGCGTGCAGCACTCTCTCGAACCTCGTATATTTGCATAGGCAAAGGACAGCTTTTCTCTCGGACGGAGAGAACGAGATGCTATCAAAAGAGTGAAGCACTTTTGCGCGATGCCATTGTCAATCATAGCCAGCTGTAGGATGTGCTAAAGGCGCAGTCAGGTTACTCCAGTGAATAAATGTCATAGTTTTTTTTATTGCATACACTCTAGATATTACATATGTCTTGATGAGAAGCCGTAGAAATCAGAACGTATGGCATTCTGTACAACACAAGTGCCACTCACTGCTGATACGATAA